GAAGTGTATTTAATGTTTTTTTAACGGCATTTGAATATGTTTATGAAAATGTTATTTTGTTTTTTGATAAATAAACGTTTAAGAAATATTTTCTATTTTTTAACATTTGGTTAATGTTTTTGTTGTAAAATTTTAATGGTATGCCATCTCACCCTTAAGTATATAGATGAGATGGCTTGTGCGGTTGAGATGGCGTAGTGTTAATATTAGTTTATGCGAAAAAGGTTATCGTTTCAAATATGCTTCAAAACATAGTTTTGTGTTAACTAAGAAAATGCCCGAGGTGAAATAAATTAAAATTTTTTTTTTTAATTTTTTATGAGGCGATTACAAAAAGTATGCCGTCTCAGACACATTTCCCCTAGTACCACAGTTTTTAATTCACTATTATTTTTATCAATCTCGGAAAGGTTTCACTTAAAAATCGGTCATCCTTATTTATTTGTACACACTAATAATTTAAAATTACAAAAAAAAAACAAAATGAACAAATGGATCACCGCTTAGGTGATTTCCACAAATTTAGAAAATGAAATTTAAAACACTGAACCAAAACTGAAAATTAAAAGCAAATTTCGTCCCGAGAAGAACCAAATTGAGCGCTACAAAATCCCGACCAGAGAATTGACAAAAATCGTCCAACGCTTTTATTAGTTCGCCCAAAAAGTGGAGATTCCTCCATCCGACATCAGGGGGCTAACAAAGAAAAACCAATGTGATCCAAACCTCGTGTCGAAATGAAGTGCCTTCTCGTTCTCTCTCGAACCCTGCCACCAAACCGCCCAAATCGCCGCCGATTTACAAGTTGATATCAAAGATTAGTTACCTAACAATGTCGTTTACACTATAAAACAAATCTATCGAGCAGCTCTTTAGAGTGGCCACTAGTTCGCGACTTAATAAGGATAGCTAGCCATAGGCCTCAAATCCATCAAACCTTCTGTTACTTGTGACTTGGTTCCTTCTAGGTGGAATCGCAAACTTTATTCTATCTGTGGTAGGCTAGATCTAGGGCTGTCATCCATCCGAATTTCCAACCTGTTCTTTTATCAACACATATTTACATATCTACAAAATGAGGAAATCGCATCACTCCATTTCGATAACGGAATTGCTTGAATAAAACGCTTCTTTGCCTTTGTGTACAACCATCATGGTTGTTATAAAATTGTGCCGTTTATTTGAAAATCAACAAAAAGAGCTAGGTACGCTTGAGTCTCAATTTACTTTCTAACGACTTCTTCGGAAATGATGGACATGTGGTACCATAAACTTAATCCAAGGGTTCGGTGCCGCATGGAATTTGCTTGTTGGGATTTTTGAGAGGTCGTTAACAAGAATTCGCCCTTTGATAGGCAGCCGAAACAAATCAGCTCGCGACAAAGAGTGACATTCGGAGGCCATCTGCATGTTACAATATCAAAAGAATAAAGGAATGGAAATGTATGTCAGACCGAATCCTGAAGATTGAGTCTGAAAAAGAAGGTAACATTTATAACATGTTGATAGTTTGTGGACCAAATGAAGGAGATAAAAAGCAAGAGAAAGGCGAGCTTTCGAATAGGTTACAAGAAGAAACAGAAAAAAGCAGGGATATACTAATAGTGATAGGAGGCGTGAACAGAAGAGTGGAGACCAGCCCCGAGGACACAGAAGGAACAGTAGGAAGATCTAGGGAAAAGAAGAGGAATGGTGACAAAATTACAAATTTTTGCATTTTGAATGGACTAATGGTACCGAGGAGGGTACATACTTAATTATGTACTGGTAAGGAAAACGCCCTTACAAATATTAAAGTCATCAAAGAGAAAAGAAGATACGGAATAGGCAGACATTTGCAATTTGGATAAAAAGACAAAAAGACAAAAAAGAAATAGAACCCACAAAGGAGAAAGCACTGAAATATTTAAACGTTAAAAGATACGAACTCCAAGAAAACAAAATACAAAGAAAGGTCACGGAAAAAGTAAGAGAAAACGTAAATGAGGGCAAAGGAAATTCAAAAAAGTGGAATATCGAGAAATTCTGACAAACTTTTAAGAATATATTAAGACGGGCAGCAATGAAAATATGAGGGGCGAATAAAAATTCGATCAGGAAAAAACAAGAAAATGGTGGAACAATCAAATAAAAATGGAAGTCAAGGAAAAGAAAAAATACTTAGAGGCCAATTTCAAGTTGGCCACGTTGCGTATCAAATGCTGGTTGTTACCCCTAGCAACCAGCATTTGATGCTGGTTTACTTACTCCATCACCCCTGATGGAGTAAATAAACACATTTGAGCTGAATTCTCCATTGTAATTTGCAGCATCGAGTTGCGACACCCCTAGTAGGTAGTGCAAATTATCTCGAAAAATGGCAGACTTCTGTCAAGTTTTCGTGGGTGTTGCTGTTAATTTATTCGAAAATTCTAGTGAAGGTGAGAATGAAACGAAGAAAAATTACCGAGAGAGCTAACATGTCGTTGCACCCTCGTTGCATTAATGGAAATTTTGAAGTTGAAAATAGTGCATTTTCAAATATAGTAAAAGTAAGAGACTTGGTTCCATCAAAGTTTAAAACAGCGATAGGGCTCAGAAGGGTAGCATAATAAACCCATTATTGTTTATCATGATGATGCACGACATTGCTAAGAATATAAACATACAATGGTTTGTATGTTTATACAACATCCCATCTAGGATACAGAAAATTGAGTTAATGCTGACCTCTGATGACAAATAGGAGATGAGATCGTTGTTCAAAAGATGTGATTACTTTAAAAACTATACATATTATACATAGAAACAAGTACGTTGTACCTAGTTAAAATAAAAAAGAGTGTTCGGATGAGAAGACGTGGTACAATTAATTTTTAGATAACTCGCCAAAAAAAAACAAATAAAATATTTCTGAAAAGTTGTTAACTCTGGTAAGTACTTCCAATCGCTGATTCTATTTCTTCTGGTGGTTTTAAATTTTCAGTATCACTTTCATCATAAAACATTTGCACAGACGTTAAATGGACAAATTGATATTGGCACACTCTGCATTTCTGGTAGTTATAAAACTGTATGCTAATAAACAAGAACATGTTCTATTATAAGATAAGAATTCAAATTTGTGAAACCAGTCTGGGGCGAGTTTTTACAAAGAACGAGTCTAAGCACGTTTTTATACTATTTCTACCATTGAAGAAATTTCAAGTTTTTATTTAAAAATATCGTCAAAATTTATTTAACTATTAATTAATTCACCGCACGTGGCGAGATGACGACACTTCAGCCAAATTTGGCTAATTTACATTACAACGCAAAACGTGTTGAATGTATCATAAATTGTACGGGAAAGTCGGTCTAAATGAACCACTTATCAAGTTATTTCAAACATTACTTGACAAATTGCTATTTCAGAACACAAGTGAACAAAAACGTAATGGTTTAAAAGCTAGCAGTTTATTTGTTTCCAGTACACTTTTAGATAATTGCATGATGATTTATAAGTATCACATCACGCATATTACATTACAAACATAAAGCCATCACACTACTACGAATCACTTTATAATAAATGAATAAAACAGAGTATTTAGTCAAGCTAAATTTCATACTCAGTTCTAGTGCCTATAATGGACTTTGAATTGTTAGAAGTGATTTTTAAAATCGGTCAATTATTTGCAGTGACCCCTTCAATTAGTCGGTCACAAAGTCGTAATTTGAGCAACAAATTTTGGGCGCTTACGGTCACAATAATTTACACATGTTTTAAAGTGTATTCTCTCGTCCAAAAAAAGTTTTATAGACGACACAATTTTATCACTGGAACAGTGAATTTTTTAGTGGATACAACATTATATCTGTTCAACATTTACGTGATTTTGATTTATAATTTTTGGAAGCAAGAGAAGTGGAAACGCCTGCTATCAGCTTTAAAAGACACATCAGATTTATGTAGTGGTAAATCGTGGCGTTGGTGCTACGGATTACTTTTTGCAGCACATTTCATGTATTTAGTATCTGTAACGTATTTTCTATACTTCTGGTACAGCCCGAGTTTTCTCAGGAGACACTTCGTTCGACAAGTTGAGAGTTATATACAATTCTTTTACAGCTGTTTGTTGTGTTGCATACTGTACATGTTATCACAACGGTATCAAAGTATACATGATCATCTTTCTAAAAAGGAAAATACTGTTTTTGATCGCACTCGTCTAAAGAGATTTGGTGTCGCAATGTATCACCAGCAAAGGGCAGTTAAAATTTTTAACGATTTATTAGGATTTCCAGTTGCTCTAATTATTGCAAATTGTGTATTTCATACTTTGGGTGATTTGAATTTTGTTATTTACCATGCAAGGAGTGTTCAAGAGGTTTTGACATATTCGCTCGTACTGCTACCATGTTTGGTGAGATGTCATAAATTCTGACCGAGCTGTGTACAGAGTGTCAAGTTTCAGGTTTCTGTTTTGGTAATGTTATCAATGTCCGGGAGTGTGATAGCAGAAAGACAAAAAGTTGTGTCGTTTACTTATCAAATGAACTGGAGTTTTGAAAGAGAGAAGCAAGGTCAAGCCGAATTTGTCGACCTTATCAGAGCAAGCGACATGCATTTCACAGCAGCCAACTTTTTACATTTAGACAAACATACAATATTAAGTGTGATCAACACGATTATAGCGTTTGTAATTGTGCTGACACAATTTCATGTTTAAGTTATTGATTTGTTGTCTGTTCGATAATTTAAAGCACACAAAAATTGCTATTTATACAAAACGCAAATGTATACTTTTTCGAGACACACTGTGGAACATTACCTGACAAAAAACAAGAAACCAATTTGATTTTAAATATCAAATGATGTGATGTTTTTTGTAGGCACCGATTCAAATTCAAGAACAAGTCAAGGCAATCCACAACAAAATGCAGCTAGTTTGTTATTTAAGTAGTAATTTTTATGATTTCTTAGAGACTCGTCCATATACTACTTTGAAAAATTAGTCTATCTCACGGTTTTTTAATCAATATTGTTGTGTGTGATTAATACGTAGATTGCGTTGTTTTGTAAAAATATATTTATGTCCGTGAAATGTGTTTATAAATGCAACAAATTAATAAAAGATCGCAATCAATATAAGAAACCAGCTCATCTTCAACTGCGTTTTAATTATTTTGGTTTAATTTAGATGTCAGGAAAAAACTAGTTGTGAAAGTGAGAGCTGCGATTAAAATATTTACGTCTGGTATTACTTTCCTTTAGTTTTATTTTACAAAGTAGTAAAGGTAAGTTATCATTATAAGTTCCACATAACACAATCGTTAGGTAAAACTCTTTTCAGTGACCTTGGTTCTGATGGTAAACACAAAAGATAACAGGTTAGGGTGAATCAATTGAATTTGTAATTTTTATTACACACTTCATTGCAGTAATATGTTACTGGTTCAGCCAACATTAGAACAGCAAGCTTTCATTCGAAACTCCCTGGACCAAAATTCGCACGATATCCAAACCGAGATCGAAATTCTGAAAAAATGGTTAAAGGAGCAACCGCATCTCCCCGATACCTGGGGTACAATAACCATTAACAGAGACGCACATATTACCTAACTTTTTGCAGATGAACACTGTTTATTCATTTTTCTCATGGGATGTAAATTCTCCTTGGAAACGTGCAAGAAAAAATTGGAAATGTATTTCATCTTCAGAGCTACGTTGCCGGAATTTTTTTCCAACAGGGATGTCAGAAACCCAGAAATAAGAGAAGCTCTTAATGTCATGTAAGTCTTCTATATATTTTTTGTCTCGTGACGATATTTTTTAAACAAATCGTGGCTACAGTCTAAGGAATTTAATACTTTGTAGGGAAGCAACGGTCTTGCCAGAGTTAACTCCCGATGGCAAACGAGTATCTATAGCAAGACCTGTAAAATATGATTTCGAAACACCAAACATAGCTGACATGATAAAACTTGTTTTCATGGTGGGTGACCTCAGATTAAAATTAGAAGAAACGGGTGTTTTCGATGTCTACATTGCTGATTTTAATTTTCCTTTGGCGAAGCACTTTTATAAAATAAATCCGTTGGTTTTGAAAAAGATGTTCATGTGTATTCAGGAAGGATTTCCTGTGATGATCAAGGAACTTCACTTAATTAACGCTCCTCCTTTTATTGAATTTGCTATCAACCTAATTAAACCATTTTTGTCACCTGAGTTAAGTCAAGTTATTCATGTTCATACTTCCATAGAAACGTTGTATGAATTTATTCCAAAGGAAATATTGCCAGAGGAATATGGCGGAAATGCTGGAAAGATGTCAGATTTACAAGACAAGTGGCTTAGAATTCTGGAAGAATATAGTCCTTGGTTCGAAAAAGAGGAAAACATTAAGGCTGATTTGTCAATAACCGCACTACAGAACGGTCTACGTGAAGATTATAGAGAGTTAGAAGGTAGTTTTAGAAACTTATGTGTAGATTAAATGAAAAATTGTCATGTTATTTGTAAAACGTTTGTAATAGCAGGATCATGGTTAATAATTTTTAGTTGGAAACAAGTGGTAAATTTTAATTGGTGCACGCATAATAATGAAAATATACAGTAAAAATAGTAAATAAGTTTGCTTAAGCTCCACACTGTTACGAAGTCTCAAAAAGAATAAAACAGGAAAAAAATAAAAACCGAGTAAAGCAATAAATATTTTTACATAAATAGATGCTAGACAGTTACATCTATCTCACTAAACATGCAGATGTTTATTCTGACCACAGGTTTTTTGAAATATTGTAACATTCTTTGCTTAAACACTGGCGTAGAAGAAGAGTTCACGACACCATCACCTAGGCCATTCCATACAGTGAAGATTCTGTTCTTCAAAAACTTTTCCGAAGTCTGCTGTTATACTTTTCATGATATATTTTGTAACAAATATTGCAAACAAGAATTGTGAAAATAAACGAAAATGCTAGAGAGGTCGACAAGTCTGGAACCGGTTACCGGAAGTCTCGATTGCGGCGTCCAGAAAAGTCTCGAAAGGGGCGTTCGCGATCCATCTAGAGGAATGTACGGCTTTAAATGGAGACCACCGTCGGGAACGATTATTATTCAATCAATTCAGTCCACAAGAGTACAGTCAAGTTGCACAGGAATTATTTTGTACATAATAGCTGTAAATTCGAGTTATTAAGAAATAAATTGTTGAGTTAAACCAACGCCAATCTTTAAATACCCGTTCAACGTATCAATAGTTTGCACATTTACAAAAACTCCGGTGGGAATTTATGCTTACAAATCATATAACTAACTACATTTTAATTCAATTATTATAAAAGCCAATAATTTCCTAACAATAAATGTATTGAAAGTTCCAAAAATGCGGTTAAGAACTCTTGGAAAATTATTAACTTAGAAAACGACAACCACACCCCTCAATCCTCCATCTCATCTCTAAGATTAGCCCGGATCAAGTGCGACGAAATTCCGGTGGAACGGTACGGTCCGGAATCTCGCCGATAATGTGTGGTGGCGACGTACCTGGGTACTAAGCCTTAGGGCGACTAGTGGCGCTGATATAACAAGCACGTGTGGCCGACCTAGGCTTATGCGGCGACCTTCGGCCAGGAGCGGCGGTCGCTCGGGCGCCAGCTTCCTCTCCGTGGGAGAAAGCGCCGGGGTTTCCCCCTGAAGCCGGAGACACGGATCTCAGATGGTGAGTGCCCGCGAAAACAAGATAATAAAATAAAACGGCAAGGAATATTTTAAACAATAAATCGGGCTTATTCCCTGCTACTAGCTACACGGCTAAGATAATAAAATTTACGGCTAATCTTAAATAACTACAGTGCAAAACAAAACAAGAAAAGTAATAACACATCCGCCACGGTCGTTCCTTCTAGGCGCCGACTTCCTTCAGGACGAGCTCCTCCTGGACCTGGGGTCGGCGACCTTGAACTTGGAAATAGCGCGAAGACGGTGCGGCGACCCGGGAGGGGAGCGCGGGGGCGGTACACGTCGCGTGCATGACTCTTTCGACTTGTGACGGTGACCACAAAAAACACCCGGTGACGGTGGTACGGTTTTTCGCTGGGGAACGGCGATTCCAAGAACCATTACGCAAACGGGCAGATGACCCAAAAAGGTACTTACAGTGATGGGAGAGTCGGACTACACACTCTCTACAATTCTCAAAAAGTTTCCTCAACACAGCTCCAACACTTCACCCTTTGAGACTTCAAGGTAGAATCCTCTTCCTCCGCCAATCATTATTTTGTATCTATAGCCACAAAATTACTAAATAACTTACCTAAGCTCAACCTCAAGCCCAATGATACATTATATACTGCTCCTTCCCCCAATAAAAATCTTTTCTAAAATCCAGTGAAGGAGACTAAAATTTACGAGGAAATAATGGCGCTATTGAAATCCAAGGCTTATGATATGTATGATCTAAATTCAAAAATTACATTAACTTGTTTGATAAATGAGTGCTTCACCTTAGGTGTTTTCCCGGATGCCTTCAAACGTTCCAGGATAGAACCAATTTTAAAAAAAAGTGACAACGAACTTATTGACAGCTATAGACCAATCTGTATAACATCGATATTTGGTAAAATATTTGAAAAAGTATTAAAGTAACAGTTATATTCGTTCTTTAGTAGTAATAAAATCTTCAACCCTGGTTAATTTAGTTTTATGAGAGGGAGCTCCAAATCAATGGCGGTCCCTTAAATTATTTCATCTGCTGTTGAAGAGCTCGAAACGGGTAACAAAATTTCATTGACTCTGTCATCTTAGCAAGCTTTTGACTCTGTGGACAGAAATTTACTTTTACACAAATTAGATTACTATGGTGTGCGGGGGACGCCCCTTCCTATTACAAAGTCAATCACCAATAAATAGACCAATTTATGTTCATTCCGTTTAATTTGTCCTACAATAATCATCACACTGGATAAAATAATTCAAATTGAGTTGTTCAGTGTTTTCTGAGTGAGAATCGAGGAACAATTTCTAAATTCACTTTGACATTTTCAATTTTCCATCGCTAATCCAAAGACACGATCGTCGAACTGGGGCGGACCGTTTCGCGACAATAGGACGGAACGATAATTTCAAAATACGATTTTTAAAGCATTTTTACAATGAATAGGCGCAATACAACGATTTGAAAAAATACGGACTGATAGCCTGTCTTTATTTCCACAAATACTACTATTACTACTATAATATTACTAAATAATAGCTATAAAGTGATCTGAGGTGACATTACAAATTAAAAACCAATTCCCCATGTTAGTTCCCTATGTCCAAATTTGGATGCGGCACTGTGGCGGCACCGTCGGGTCTTTGGCTATTTTGCTTATTTATATTTAGTGTCCGAGTTTGGTGCCGATAGCCGTCACAAAAGAGTGTCCCTTAGGTCCTGGCCCCTGAGGGCTGATTCGGGGAATGAGAAGGGCAAATGAGATACAGTCTCGCTCCATAGGTTATCTATTGTAACTTTGTAATACAGTTTTGACGAGCTAACAGTTATCGGAGAGTTACATACTCAAGCAAAGTAAAGGGGTGATTACGATTATAGTAATAGGAACATTAACTGTGCATCTTACGTTATTATATACATATGGAGAGCAGGGCGGTGAACCCTGGTATCTGGTTCAGATTACCGGATAAATGCATATCAAGCAGTAAGCGACGGAATCTTGTCTATAAGAGTATAAATTTGCGTTACGGAAGAACATAGAAAAGTATTAAATATGAACATTAAACTAGCCTATAACATTTAACTGAGGCTTGCTGCGGGGTTGCGACCGATCGTGGTAACAGGGTCACAAGTGCCTGGAAGGGTAGCGGGTCTCGCTCTTGGTTACTCCAGGCGCTTATAGTGAATGGGCGAGCCTGAGGGTGGCACCCGGGCCTTGAGAACGTAGAACTGCCCGTTTATTAAATTGAGGGCGGTGACAAGATACACCGTTGGGCAGAAACGGGATGCACGAACCCTTGCTGTTCGGCACGGAGGGCCCACATCAAGCCGGAAAAAGCTGATCCTATACGGTGGATCATTGACTTGTCGTACGAGATTCATACCGAGGGCCTGTTAAGTCACCGTCGAATCGCCGGTAAGCGCCAATAAGGCGGCCTTCGCAAGGACAGAACCGCATAAGTAGGTCAGTGGGACTTACATGTCAGCAATTCAGCGGTTGCGTGGAAAATCAGAGGGGGAACCTCGGCGAAGCGCCACTGTCACTCAATAGAGAAGGTCGTGTTGGAAGATGTTCTTCCGCACTTGGCACTAGCACAGCGGCCGGAAGTTGGGTATCGCGATTAGACTAGGAAGCAGACCCATCCGCACGCGAGACTGAATCAGAATCGAATTGAATTTTAATTCTAATCCGGACGTTTAAGCGTGAGAATATTGAAGACGATGTAACAAAAAAAATCTATTTCTCGCAATTTTGTCGCCGGAAACGGCGGCAAGTGTTTGTAAAAGTGCATTTCCCATAATTAATTGGCGTCGGACCACCCAAAATGATAACGAATTCGTCAGACTTACTGGCCTTGATGTCAAGTGTTTGTATTGACCCCAAGTTTCCCATGCAAATGTGCATATTAATTGCAAGTGGAGTGATTTGATTGAACATGAAGATATTCTCCACATTAGGGCATGGAATGCGTTTTGCCGATTATTCCTGGACGGAAGTGTGACTGTGTGGGGCCATGGGAAGCGATCGCTTGCCTTGAAGATTATGTTAATTGACAATACTGGGAAGTTCGGACTTTTGGTTCCCATGATAATGAAGAGTAGGCTCGTTATGGAAAAATACTATGTGCCCCAGTAGGGCTATTTTAAGGGTTGAAATCTTAGATCATATAATAAATAGATACCAATACTCAAACTGAAAGCTGTGACTAGACATGAAGCTATCTATTTATTATATGATCTAAGGTTGAAATTCCGGTTCACCACAGCACTCTGTCGTTTATGTGTTTATTGACCCCAATTAAAATTATGTATTTTAAATCATTCCCCTCAGCTGTTGGAATTTACTACTTTTTTCAAATGTAAAGCAAACTTTGTACATGTAGTATCAAAATTCATGATAATGACATACAAACTTAAGTTTCAAGAATATTGACAAGTGTATTTATGAATTATATTTTATCGGATTATGTCATTCACCCTGATTTTCGTTCGTTATAATTAAACTGCTTTCCCGAATTGTGCAGTGCGTGATGTTATGTATGCAAATTAACATATTTTTGTACAAAAGAAGTGCCAGTAAACTTTTCTCAAATGACGTGCAAACACAAAACAATGGGTTTTGAGTTGTTAAATAATGTTTATTTAAAAATGGGCCAGTTGCTTGCAATTACTCCTCCTTCTATTCAAACTAGTAAAAACACAAGAATTCGTCAAATTCATCAAGTGTTTATGATCCTGCTTACCATCACTTGTGTCACAGTATTAGTGTGTTTCAGAGATTTCTATTTACAATACAATCTCGCGAAATTAACTGTGTCTTCTTACCGACATTATATTATACATATTTTGTTGTCGACTGGTTGTCGAAGCATCTAAGGTGTCAGAGTGGACTGAATTAATCAAGGGTTTAAAAATACAGCTTGCTTATTATGTGAAAGTGTGATGGCAGAAGCCGAAGACATAATTTTCCTGATTTCGAAATCCAACATAAAAGTTATAGATCTACAAATAAGGCAAGAAATGGATAGATTTGTTGGCATTCTGGAAACTAACTTTCCTCGGTTTAGTGCAGCCAGATTTTTTTTCCTTGGTCGATCTACAATCTTGAATATATTTGGAACAGTTGCTACTTTTTTCATAGTTTTAGTTACATTTTTACCTAATGTAAGATCAAATTTTGAAACTGTAGCAAACTTATCTCTTCGTATACGTAATAAATTTCTAAGAATCTACATAAAGTTATCAAATACTTATGTAAAGGGGAAATTCATTCTCGACATTAACATAATCTTCTAAAATTATATAGGGGGTGTCCGTAGCCTTATACTTTGAGAACACATAAAAAGATTAAAATTCTGTAAGGGCCATTGTTTTTAGCTTGAAGGTGTACCTAATTTTGTAATAATAATTTTATGTTTAGTGTAAAATACGACAGTTCGAGTATATACCTAAATGATTTTGAAACAAATTT